GTAAAAATAGTTGTAATAGCTAACCCAATATAAAGTCAATAAAGTATTACCACAAGTATGGTCTTTAACAAAAAAAATAAAAAATAAAAAATAAACTTTTAATCTATTACTTGAAAGGTTGTCAACTTATTCACTTTACTAAGTCATCATAACCTAAACTTAACATTTAGTTAATTTTGTAAATTAAATATAATATTTATCTAAACTACATTCTAATACTTCAAATCTAAATAAGTTTTAACTTTATAGTTAGTTTAGATTACAGATAAACTAGTTTGAGCTTTTATTCTTGTATATAATTTTTATTTTGTTATATATAATCTTATTTTATTTTAATACTTTTGTACTAAAATATACAGTTAAAATTATTAATAAAAATATAAACAAGGTTTTATTATAATACCAAAAAAAATAAATAATAATAAAACTAATAAAATTAATAAAATTTAATATAACAACTAATTATATTTTAAATAAGTATCAATTTTATTATATATATTTGTTTTACTAATATTTGAAATAATATTTTGATTTATATATTAAGTAAAAAAATTTTAAAATAAAGTTTAATTTTTTTTAAAACAATAATCAATATATTTGCTTTTTAATATTTAAAGTTTAGTAGAAATTAAGCAAATTTTTTTTAAGTAATTTTTTTAAAACTTTAAATAATAATAACTTAACAACTTAATCAATTTAATAAAATTTTTTAAAATAAATTCTACAACTTATAAAATTTATTTAAAAAAAATTTTACAAACTTATAAAATTTATTTAAAAAAATTATTAAATTTGATCAAATTTTTATTTAAATATTAATATTTAAAATTTTTAAAAAACAATTTGCTTAATTTTTACTAACTCATTATTTTATAATCTTTAATTTTATTAACAAATATTTACTTTAAATAAACCAAAAATATTATTTTTTTATATTTTACTATAACATTTTTTGTAATTCAGTTCTTTGTTATTAACTAAAAAAGTAATAAAAATTACATTTATGAACTTAACCTTAATTAAAATAAAATCATTTATTTATATATAAAATTTAATACTAAAAATTTTTATTTAATTTTTTTGATTTTTTACTTTTAGTTATACAAATTAAGCAATCTAATTGGCTCTATATATAACTAAATAACATTACCCAAATGCAAGTTAGCAATAATAAAAAAAAACACAATATATTATATTAATAAATTATAATCTCTGTATTATAATTTTATAATATTAAAAAACCAAATTTTAAAATTTAATTCTAAGCCAGTTTTAATATAAAAATCTGATTTTTTAAAATTTAATTGAAAATCTAAAATTTTTAAAACTTAAACCAAACTTAAACTAACTTTACCATCTCTAATTTCAGCTATTTCAAGTCGATTCAATAAAGTAATAGCTGTTTGAAGCCGATGAAGTCGCTCTTGCTCTGGCGGAAATTCCTAATCAAAATTATTTAATAACAGTTATTAGAAATATTAATTAATAATGAGTCAGTAAAACGCACTATATTTGACTTTTTTTTTTTTTGAAACAATAACTTAACAAGAACTTTAGCCAAATTTAATAAAATTTATCAAATTTTTATTATCACAAAAATTGGTGCATTTATACCAACTCACCAATTTATTATGCGCCTTACCTTTCTTAATTCTTTTATATATTTTTCATTTTGTTCAGCTTGAAGTAAGTTTTCCACAAGTACTGCGACTGTAACACCAATGTTATCAGTAGGATAGAATAATTTTGCCAATATTTTCATATTTTCTACTCCTTTATGCATATTTTTCTGCAGACTTGAAGTGGCCTTTTGAATCTTACAAAAGTAATGACGTTAGATCAAAGTTAACGAAACAAATTTTCAGATAATCAGCTTTTACCTCGAAATGAACATTATCTAATGAATCTGAATAAGAATTGCATGCCATTTCAAAGTCCAAAACGGCGTCACCTATGCAGCATAATGGCACGTTTCATTAAAGCCCAATTGATAGCTTTCGCAAATATTATAATCTTACTTGGCCAATTGAAATTCGATGCAATTTGTTGTAAAATGTGCTTAAAAAATTCACTTTGGGTCTGATATTGATTCCATTTCAAATCTAAAAATATGAACGTTAATTATCACATATAGCACCATATTTATAAATACGTAGATGTTTATGTGATTTACCCTCATCTAGCGGTGTTTCCGCAGCCTGCAAAACTTCTAATGATAAACTTTGTTGTTCATCCAAAATTTCGCGTTTTTCTCCAATCAGGATGTCTATATCCCTAATTTGTTCCTCTACTGCCGCCAGCGCACTGGAACTTAAAGACTGGTCGTTCCCAAACAATGACATTTGATCATTTATTTTCCATTTACATAATGAATGTCAATTAGATATACCTTTTTTCTCATAGATTTTTTTGGCGCCTTAATAGCGGATGGTCTTTTTTCAGTTGCAACCCTTTGCTTTTGGAGTTGAAGTTCCACTTCCTATATAAAGAATTTGAATTGAGATAAAATATTAATAAATGAAATTAAATGGTCTACAATATTCACTACCTATTATTAACTTTCCTTCTGATTATATTCTTCTTCTAACTGAGCCACAACTTTCGCCATCCTTTCCACCTTTTTCTTTACTTCTTTCAACCTTTTTGCTTGTTCTTGATTTTGTTGACGCGTTTGCCCCGATTGCCTTGCAGAAGATTTAGCATGCACATTTTTTCTAGTCGAATATTGCAGAGAATCTAACTGTGCCTTTTTCAGTTCCGCATCCAATTCATGTTCACGCCGATCTGCCTACAAAAATATGTAGCAATAGTAGCAAAACAAATTTGTTAATATCATAAACTAGATTTTTATAGGTAAATAGAGTCGTCTCACGCATGTTAAACGCGTGTAAACACCTCCTCCTGGAGCATATTCTCGCGTTTTTCTAATTCTTTTAACATATCTTCAGCTTTCAATAAGAGGTTATTGACCCGCGGCTCAAGTTGAACTGCTAAAGAGCTCTGAGCTTCACGTATTTCTGCCTCTGTTACAAGCTCATAAACCTTTCAAATAAAAATTATAGTTACTTAAATCCCATGCATCCAAAAATTCCTAATTATAATAAATGATATACCCTTTGGCAAGCAATCAACTTTCTTATCCTCATGAAACTCTGTGTACTTATCTCCAACTTATGCACTGAAGATTGAAGCTGTTCGTATAAGTTTTAATGTTGTTAATACTGTGAGGAAACCGTTTCATAAGTTAATAAAAGTGATTACCTTCACAGAACTATCTTGTAATCGCTGTACACATTCTCGAAGGCTTTGAAGATAATTTGTTGGTATATTGGGGGTATACATGGATGTCGAAAATATTTTTGACAATCAAAATTGTAAATAATTTAGTATGTCGAAAATATTTCTGTATGTTGTGATCTTCCGTGATAATTAACGTTAACGTTAACCAATCAAAATACATAATTTTTAAAAATGAACTTCGCCTATATACTTTTTTTTTTTTTTAATATATATATCACTTTTAGCATTTAGGCCGTTTTATATTGGCTGCAGTTCGTGCTTTGATAACCGTCTCACTATGTCAAAAGGCCAAGCAGAAGCTTTAGAAATATCACCAAATAATGCATATGATGAAGATATTGAGAACATGCTTTACAATGAATCCCAAAACTATATATATAATGGAGATAATGATAACATCTTTGGTACAAGTGTCATGGATATTGATTTGAAACAAATGACAATGACACAAGACCAGCTTGAACTTTATATGAGAAAATAGTTTGTCTATCAATTAATTTTCTTAAGAACAACCTACTTTCTTAAAAGAAAAGGTTTGCAATACTTGGAAGTGAGTTATGTAATATATAAATCAAGTATAACTCATCAAGCATATACAAATTGAATCTAAAAATTGTTTTTTTCATAGTTTAAAAAAATAAACAGAGTTCTGTCAAGAGTGTCATATAGAACATTAGCAGTGTTATGTCTAATTAAAAATGTACTCAAGTCTATTTATATATCTAAAATATGTAAATGTCTTATATATATAGAAAACTATCAAAACATCTTTTAAAAATGTCAGAACATTGTTATTAAACTTCTTATCTTATATTATTAAAACTAAAAAAAACAATTTAATCAAATGTATATTTTTTTTTAACTTAAGCAGTTATATTGGTATTTTATTAGAACTCTTGATACTATACAAATTACAGAAAATTTTTCTAATACCTAAATCTAGCATCACCTGGCCACCTTATTGGTATCTAAGTATGACCTGTTGCACTACCTCAAACAGAGGTAGACTGCTCATCTGACTGCTGCCCTACAATAGGATACCATCAATTTGATGACATCTTCTCGTAAAGAAGCAAAAAAACAAAAAAACATTTTATATGTATAAAAAAAAACAAAAAACAGAGGTATAGGAGTAAATGATAAAAGATACAAAACAAAAAATAAAAGGAGAAAAGGAGAAAATAAGAAAAAAGAAAAATGTAAAACTTGCAATTCATAAAAAATCAGACAATCACAATTTTAAGCCTGTGTCAGGTATAAAACTTGCAATTTACAGATATTAGACAATTACAATTATAAGCCTATATTGGGCTTGTAAAAATAATAAACTATACTAAATAGAAATTACTCTACTATCTTCTTATTTACTTAGATTATTTAAACAAAAAACCAAAAAGGAGAAAAAAACTTCAATTTTATTATAAAAGGTTAGTATAGGATACTGGTTAGTCCTGATGCAATGTTTAACAGGTTTCCAGTAACTCAAGGCATTATATAGTTGTATTTGTATTACTTTATTGTTTCTGATTCACATTGTCAACAATCCTGTTTATAAAATAAACACTGCTAACTATTTTAGTAATTTTACATAATAATCTTTAGAAGAGGATATACTGAATTGTCCACTTTTACAAAAATTTTCTCGAAAAAAAGTAGAAGTGCTAGGTGAACCAACTTTTAGCTTTTGTGAGTTCTGAACCTTTGTGAGTATTCCTTGTAGGTTTTACAATTGTATAGAACTAATATATCCAACTTTGTTGTATACTTAATAAGAAACCTTGGCTTTTACTAACTACTTCTTTTATAGTTTCAAAGTGCTCTTTAAACTATTACTACAAGGCTGTAACTCTTTTTCAATTCTATTTCAATATTCAATAATGCATGTATAGTACTTCAGAAAGGTTTTCATAAAGTCTAATATATTAACTATATTATTTTACTGTAGTTTGGCTTTTTGAAAAGTTTGGTTTAAGTGATTATTGAAAAGAGTTAAATTTTTTTTTCCTAAGAATTACTATAAATAACATATAGCAGATTAGGCAAAATAAAAACATATAAGTAATCAAATTAGAAATATATATATATATATATTTATTTTTTTTAAATATTAAGGTAAGTACTTGTGACTTAGAATTTTATTGATAGTATATTTGACTAATAGATGCTTTACAATTACAGAGAAAAATTATAAAAAAAGTATACAACTAGCTACTTGTATAACTTTAGTTATTGTTTAATTTAAGTAGTCCACTTGAAGGTTCTACACTAGCTGCTATATCTGAAACCTGCTTGTAGATTTTTTATTTAACTACTCTAGTTTCTGTATCCACCTATCTATCTTTGTCTACCAATGACTCCAGCCAATAATGATGAAAATATACCATGGCTACTAAGTCTTTAAAGCAGTTCACTTATATAAGGAACCTTTGACCTTGTACTAAACCTTCCAGAATCTTCTGCATCTCATTCTTATAGCTAACCTAATATCACTATAGCTAAGACTAACATTAGCAGTCAAGGCATAACATTAAACTATTATGCTCTTATAAAGTTTACTCTAACTCTAATATTGACTTCACAATATATTCCTACTATATTGATATTCAATTCAAGTTCTAGTAAGCTTTCAAACCAGATAGTTTAAAAAAACAGATTATAACTATATACTTCTAATTTATATGTTTTCTGGTATATAACTTTTTTTTTAGAACTGATCTGATAGCCTGGTTGATTTTATTTAGCCTCTTGCCAAAGGCCAGCTTTTTGTTAAGTTTCACAAGTTTCAGCTCTGTTTCATAGATCTAGTCTTTATAGTAGTACTATCAAAGATTCAGGTTATCTTTCTACTCAGATCTTCCAAGTAGGCTTCTGTCTTCCTATAGATTCTTGTAATTTACATAATCTAAGGACTTATTATGAGTTTATACTATTTAGTACCAGTTTGTATTCTTTTATACAATATTGTATAAATGCCTAGAACTTTCAGTTATGCTGGTATAATATAGGTTACAGGTATCTAATCTTAACCAATTACAGAAAACAGTTAACTGTAATACAAAAAGAATTGCAAATTTTTGTTGTTACTGAGATTTGAATTCTAGATCTGCCACTTGGGGATTAACAACCTATCTACTTTACTAGGATATTACATCTCTAGAATAAATAAATTATTATAAAGCAACAAATAAGTAAAATATAAAAACAAATAATAGAATATTCTAAAAAAAAGAATAACTATATAAATAAATAAAAGTTTGCTGAAAAAATATAAAAAAACTCTAAAAGTAATTGTTATAAAAAGAGCATACTGGGCAATAAACAGTGTACACAACAAAATTTTTTTAATAAAGTAAGCAAAACATATGCAATATCTAATAAGAAAAATAATATTATTATAATGCTTATAGAGCAAAACCTGAATAAAATCACACTTTTGCTTTTTTTTTTTTTTTTTGGTATTAAAGTAAGGCCTTGCTCGTATCTTTATTAGTAGTTTAAAAGTTAGAAGCTACATGGAGCTACTATGTACAAAAAGTAATTTTCTATATAAATGCTATAGCAAAACCAACACTTGCAGTCAGGGCTAGACCATTAAACTGCTAACTATATAGCTACTCTAAGTACAAATAAAAGAAAAACTATATTCAAGAATAAAAAATCACACTTTTGCAAATAACAAAAGAAATATTAAAAAAAGTAAAAAAAAAAGCAACTAAAAAAAAACTAGATATTATAAAAAAAAACTAAAATATAATAATAATAAAAAAAAAATAGCAATAACTAAAATAGAAAAAAATTAAAAAAAATTGTATAAAGTAATACAAAGAAAAATAAAAAATAATAAGCCAAACAAAAAATAATTATAATAAAGTATTAAAAGTTTACAAAAAAAGATAAATATAAAAGTATATTAGATAAATAACAGTTAGATAGAAGTAAAACTACTTATCTAAGAAAATAAAGTTAAAGAACAAATGGGAGAACAAAAATAAAAAAATATAGATATAAATAAAAAAATTAAAATAAAGTTTAATAATAGAAAAAATAATAAAACAAAAAAATATATATAAAATTAAAAAAAAAATTAATATATTAAAAATACTATTTACAAAAAGTATATAAGTATTAAGCAAAAAAATTGTAATCAAAATAATAGCTTATTCACTAATATACTAGCATATAATATGCTTAGAAAAACAAAAAAAAAATTTATAAATTTCATTAGATAGTTACTAAAGAACTATAAATGTATTAAAAATATTAAAAAAATCTTTAAAAGAAAAAACTTATGATTAGAAATAGATTTTATTTATAAGTATATAAAGAATTAATAAGAAAAAAAGTAATTAGTATAAAGTAATATCAAAAAAAAAGACAAAAAAAGAAAACAAAAAAAATATAACAAAAAATATTAAAAAAAATAATATACCAAAAACCAAAAAAAAGAATATAAAGAAAGAAAAATGAAATAAAGACAAATAAAGATTACTATAAAACAAACAAAAAGTTTGAAAACAAAAACTATCTAATAATATAGAACTTGCTAACAGATATAAACAAAAAAAGTTAAAATATATTTGCAAAGATTTAAGAAAACCTATATAATAAGAATTAAAAATGAAAGTACAAAGTTTTAGTAGTGGTTTAAGTAGAAAAAGCAAATAAAAAAATATTCTATAGTCTATACTAATTAATAATAATAAATTAGTACAAATAACAAAAGAAAAAAATAATAACAAAGCAAGAGAAAAACAAAAAAATATATAGCAAAGCTAACAGAATTATCTAAAAATAACTTAAAAGTTCTATTATTATAAAATTTGAAAAGCAAGAAGACAAAATTAGTTTATATTTTATTAAATAAAAATAAAAACTAGAAAAAAACTATAATAATTATATTTGCAACAGAGAATAATATAAAGGTAGCTCAATCACAACTAATTATATATAACAACTTTCAAGTATATTAGATAAATAAAGAGAAAAAAAAATAAAAGAAAAAGAAACTTTAAAAAAAAATAAAAAGAAGTTAAAATAGATAAAGCCAAATCTTTAATACAGAAGATAACAAAGACAAAAAGAAAAAAACAAAAAAACAAGATATATTTAAATAAAAATAAAAGTAAAAAAGTTTAAAAATAAAAGATCTAATATTAAAAAAAAGAAGTAATATCAAAATCAAGATGCAAAAAACTAAACAAAATATTTAAATACAATTAAAAAGAAAAAAGAAGGTCTTAAAAAAGAAATAGCTAAAGTTAAGGTCAGATGTAAGAGTAAAAAATATATGTAAATAATATTCTGAATTAAATCTAAAAAATATTAAAAAAATTAGAAAAAGTAAAAAATAATAATATGAAAAGGCTTAGCTAATCATTTCTAAGAATGTTTTAGTTAAATTTATACATATAAATAAAAAGATTGAAGATTTTTTGTAAAGTAAAAAAAGAGTATTTGAAGAAGAAATAAAGCAACATTTTCTAATCTAAAAGAAGAAAAGAAGAAAAGAAGAAAAAAAACTAAGACAAAACAAAAATAACTAAAAAAAATAGAAATAAAGAAATAAAAATAGCATGTTACAATATCAATAAACTTAAAACTAGA